TAAGTGGACTACCTCTATAAGTGAAACGACATTGCAGGTCCCTTGATGTCTCACTTAACCAGGTTTCACTGTATTAGCTTAGTCTGTAAATGAAACTTGTTTCTTCAAACCGTGCACTAACACTTACGATTACTGCGCTTAAAAATCACCCTTAAATATAAACAAAATGAATGAGTTCGTTCTTCTAGGCTGCCTATCGCATGCTAGACCCAACTAAAGTAGAAACTCATGCGTGTATGAACAATATTTACATAAACACATTGAAATAAACTTAACGCTAGTCTGAATTATAGTTTGAATGGTCTCAACGTGAATTACGCTACGTTTCATATTTCTTTTACTTAGTGAAATGCTTGAAGTGTATATGAATTTAAATTGCATTTATTTATCGTTGAAGAAACTGTTTTTTTGTGTGTGGGTGTGTGTGTGCTGTTTATATTATATTGCACCACACTTGACTATATTTAACTTAAATTATAGTTGTTCTTTAGGTAGAATTTATATGAAATAGTTTTCAGAAAGAACATTCTATTGCTTTGTACAAAAGTTTTATAAATGATGAAATATGTAGGTATATATGTATGACGTAGGAAGGTAGGTACTTAATAGTTTAAAAATCTTATATCAAACATTCATGTGACTACTTTAATCTGTCTTTTTTATTACAAACTTTAAATGAATGTACTCAAAATCTAGCGATATTTCATAAAACCTAAATAGACCGTAATAGAATAGAATACAAAAACTATGAAGATTAATCTCATAGTTTTTGAGCACATTGTATTAGGATTAATTGCCACAGGTAATATAAGATTCTTTGTGTAAAAATATATAGGTATAATGTGGAGATTAATTGACCAATAAAACAACGGAATATATAAAAACTTTTCTTTTATTTTCAAAACAATCTGTACTTATCAAGTACAATAAAACTTTACCTAGCATTCGTTCGTTTTAACAATGAAAAATTACAAGGTTCTTAATAATATTAGTTATTTACTTGACACCTTACAATTTGATGCGTCTATGAAATTAAGTAAATGAAACTTTATCAGCTAAACAATAGAGTTGACATTTATTTATAATGACTTATCACAGAAAGGCTGTTCTCGCACTATGTCCATTTCTCATTGGCAATGGCATCCTAAAGGAAAATAAACCTTATTTGTACAAAATATTGGGTAGAAATGATATGTGGTTAGGGATGCCTCTTAGGTCCAATATTTGTTTCATAAATATCTACTATAGGAATTTATTATAAGATATTAGGATAGTTTTTTCCCGTCAATGTCGATTGGAATGACGGACGGATTTTAAGGGTATAGGTATTTATCTATAATTATATTTACAAATTTCCAAAACCATAGTAAGAGAACAGCCCTAACATTAATATACAAAAAATATATACAGAGAAAATACAACACTAAATGTAGCTATTCATAATATTAACATTTGATTTAAATTACATTTAATTTATATTTCATAAATTAGGCTTCTAAGAAGGAGGCCGTTATACAAATATTTAATTTTGAAATTATAATTATTTATTTATTGAATTACAGTTACACAATTAATTTACGTAAATTAATAAACATAATATTTGTATATGTATAATGAATGCAAATGCATTTTAATAATAAATTAATTCAGTAATATTCTTGTAATATTATTTACAGTTATTTATATATTATAGAGGATTTTTTTTATATAGGATTGAACCTGATATTTACAAATCTAGAATGTATGTTTTTTTTTTCAAAACTACAAGTAGAGTGACGCAGAAATTTTAACACAAAAACTACAAACTAATAATATTATACAAATCTTTGGAGTTACTTATTATTAAGACTTTGTTACTTACAATTTTTCACCAAATCTTCTTTTTCTTGTTTAAACTTATGAGGATAGAAATAATAACAATAACCCTATCATTTTCTTCAATATTGTATCATTGGGTGCAGTTTCATAGTGCAAATACAGGGTGTAGTATAACGGACCACACCCGAAAACGAATGTTGATGATAAAAGTTTTATTTGCATAAAAGACATACGTAACATTAACATAACATCACGTCTTTTATCCCCGAAGGGGAACACAGAAGTAACCCCCACTTTTCACTATTTATGTTATGATTCCCATGTAATAGCGGGAGACCCAGCAATAATTGCATAAAGATAGGAATTAAATGTTTCTTTTGTGTAATAATACTTGTAATCAATTGCTCCAGGCTGATGTTGCATGAACAACACGAAAATAAAAACTATTTCTTCTTGTCAGCGTTTCTGATGCGTTCCGTGACTGCCTCGCTGGCCGAGTGGTCGCAAGTGCGACTCGGAAGAGGAAAGTATTACTGAGTTTTTTTTTTAATTCTAAGTAGTAGTACTGAAGTGCTACTACTTCATACCTCGTTGGCCGAGTGGTCGTAAGTCCGACCGGCCGGGCATGGGGTATCGGGATCTATTCGTATTAGGAGGCAGCGTAACGTATTAATGGGCTTTTTAAAAAAAATTCTCAGTAGTAGCCCGGAGGCTGAAATTGTGCCCGGTATACGGCAATAGGCTCACCCCCAATTACATGAGACTCATAACATAAATAGTGAAAAGTGGGTGTTATATTGTACAGTGGTATAATGTGCACTCCGCCTAACTCATCGGGGATAAAAGGTGTGATGTTATGTTATGTTCGGGTGCTTTCCCTTTACACCCGATATACATATCTCTTTGTCGGTTTCGACTACGGTGATTAGGCTTCTACTTTTTATTTTTTAATTTAGGAGCTTTGGTGCTTAGCTTATCTAGCACAAGGCTTATGTACTTTATTTTTGATAGTGAATAAAGGGATCCTCGCCGGCTAATATCCAAATAAAATTAGATTAAAATTGTTCAACGGGCCTCTGTAAATTGGCTTCGGCTCCTCGTACGCTTTCCAAACATCCGAGACCTTGTGGTCCCGTGAAAGGAAAATACTAATAATAATAATGATTTGAGTAAAAACGCGGGTTACTCACGTGAATATACTGAGAAAAGCTCTACTAGTTTCGAACCACAGAGGGAGTCTTGTAAGCATGCTCAGCGAGCTGCACGACATCGCCGCGACCGCGCACGCTGCTCATGAGGAAGAACCCCTCTGTGGTTCGAAACTAGTAGAGCTTTTTTCAGTATATTCACGTGAGTAACCCGCGTTTTTACTTAATTTAGTATGTCTCACGATAGTTATTATAAAAAAATAATGATTTGATTATTTTCTCATCATGTTCTATTTTAATTTCAATACAGGTCTATAAAAATCTGTTTCTTCACTAAAAAGAAACTCGCCTTTGTTCTAGTTTCTTTAGAAAGAATTTCAAAGGTATTGAAAAATTTTGTAGAGAATTTTATTTTAGCGAACGTCTTCGAGGAACTGTTACATAATATTATTTAATATATTGAATAAAAACTTTAACAAAATTCTGATATTTTTTTAATTTAGTTCTAGTATTTCAAATAACATACTACGATACGGGTTTGACAGATGATTTTGATGTAAAATATGTTGAAAATTTCAAATAAAGAAATAAACAATAGCCCCCCGCTTCGTGCGCACAAAACTATATTTCTATATATAAAAATTAATTGTAACTAATTTTCGATAACAAAAAACTATCGGCTATTTAAATAAAGTGGCAATAATATTAAGAATACATTGCGGAATTCAAATATTTTATTAACTAAAATCACGAGTTAGTCACATAAATATGTTGAGAAAAGCTCTACTAGTTTCGAGTCACAGAGGGACTCTTCCTCAAGAGCAGAGTATATGGTCGGGCGACATCGCCGTGTCTCGATGTACCTCTAGGTATATTTACGTGAGTAACTCGTCATTTTAGTTCATTCAGTATGGCTCACGATAGGTATTATAAAAATTCAAATATTTATAATTATAAATAAAAACAACTTCAATGTAACTGTTTTTTAATAAATTGATTGAGTAAAATGATTTTAGATAAATCTCATAGTATATGTTTTTGGCACAGGTAAAACTAATAGAGAGTTATGGTAACAATTCTGGCAACACCGAAATAAACTGTCAAATAAATGGCCAATCAAAATGGCTGACAATATACCTAAATTTGTCAGTGATGCGATCACTTTCACTTGATACTCTATACTTTACTTTATTTCATTGTTAAATAAGGGTTATTTTCAGAAGTTCCCTATAAGTTTCTGATAAAGCTAACTGACTAATAATACCTACAAGTCCCATTTCTTACTTGGTGTATTATGGCAGTGTAGAGACTGAACCGAATTGTGATTAAAATCATTTAATGTATTGTAGGTCTTGTGATTAAAATGCATTCTAATGAATAAGTAGATATACATACAGAAAAACAACAATTAGAAGCCTATAGTTTTATTATACAATAAATAAGGTCCTGGCCACACTGCGGTACTTTCTCACCGCGTAGCATTTTTGTCTAACTTGTTGGCCGAGTGGTCGCAAGAGCGACTGCCGGGCCCTTGCCTGACCCCAGACCCCTTGGTCTCAATTCCAGAGTTGAGCAAAGTATTATAGGGTTTTTCAAAAATTTCTCAGTAGTAACATGGAGTCTGGGATTGAGCCCGGTATATAGCAATTGGCATCCCCTATGATATGGGACTCATAACATAAATAGTGATAAGTGGTTGCTGTAATGTGCACCACTATAACTTCGGAGATAAAACGCGTGATGTTATGTATTTTTTACTGTATGAAAATCTGGAACAAGACAAAACCACAACAAGAGCTGCAGCCGGCTATTCTTATTCAGTTGCTTGTTTCCACCGCCGCCGTTCCACATGCGATTGAAGCTTAACAGATTGATAGAACTTAAAACGCGTCATTTATATTATTTGAGATATTAATATTGTCGATATGTTCCACCGGAATCATTGCTTTACGAGAACATTTTATCTACATACAATTTATTTACAGTCTTCACATTTTTTTTACTTAAACACTAATATCAATAGCTAGTCAATGTCTATAACTTTCGCCTAGTTTCGTTTCTTTCTTCGATATCATTTAAAAATTGCATTTTCTCTGAGGCGTTGTGGTACCTGTAGGAAAAATGTTTAGAGAATAAATATACCGGTGGTGGATAGATATGTCGATACCCTTCTTGTTTAACATAAGAAAATTGTTTTGGAAAAAATATATTATGTTTGTTGTGATGTTTTCGGCTTACTCATACACTCGTAGCATTCCGCGACCCGCGACGCGGCGACTGTCACGCTACTGGGTCGCGGAATGCTGTTCATGAATATGAGCCTCTAGCATGGCTTGAAACTGGTCGAGTTCCTGGTCGAATAATTAAGTGAGTAAGCCGAAAACATAAAAATTAATTTAGTTTGTCTCATGAAAGTTAAAATAGAAATATGTTTTGGTAGCAGTGACTCGTAAAATTAATAATATTGCAGAACTGAATTTTGTTTTGAATTTCTACGAATTAATTTGTTTTGACCTTATATTTCTCAGTAAGCTAGCTAAAATAAAGCCTTTAATATATAATATATCAATTATAAATAAATGTATGTATGTATGGTTGTATAAATTTATAAAAATATAAAGTTAATATAATTTCTTTGGAAAAGTATTCTTGTGTTTAACTAGGTTATTACAAAACCCTACATTTTCTATGTAAGTTGATTAAGAAAATATCTGTACCATAAAAACAACATTCTAATATGTGTTTCAAAGAAATTTATTTAAACTTTTCTAACTTCATACAAAGTATTATTTTAGTATTTTAAAAAGCGAGGCTTTACTAGAAGTTCAAACCTCCTTCAATAATGTTATGGAGATTTTGTAAAAACAAAACCTAAATAGAGTTAGAGTTTTTAAGTTATGTTATTGTACTTACTTCGATCGTTTTTTTCTTCTTACAGTGTCTACAGGCGTTGCTTCCACGCATAACACTATTAATCTACTACTGCATGAATATCTGTAGAAGAAAAATAAATATTAACATTTTTATTTTCATAATCCGGTCACATTAAAAAAGTCTATTAGTGATTTCTTTATTATTGGTCATTTTTGGTGGTCCAGCATGTGATGATTAGAATGTTAACTTTAATAATATTTTGGAAAATTGAAAATTAGTATCGGGATTCCAGATTTTTTTATATAAAACATTGCCCACACTAGGATTTCCTCCTGTGTCGTGGGTACGTTTACAAACATACAAGTTCACATACACAAAACACCCAAACCCGCAATAATAATTTCTAGATCACACAAAGAGTTGCAACGTGTGGTAATCGAACCCACAGCCGATTGCCCAGACACCACGCCAAAATTTTTGAGATTGAACATTCGTTTTTAAAAGGGAGTTCAATTGGATTGAAAACATAACTAAGCGATAATAAAAATGTGAATGATATACGTAAATATACAAACTTATGACAGCCGTTTAATATTGTTTAAACTACCTGTCTATCTTCAAGATTACAATAATTCTTGAGTGAATTTCTTTTTAAAAAGCATAACAAATCTGAATATGTTTGTTATTCTGGAAGATTTTATAGTTATTAAATCCTTAGATTCACAAAAAAATATCAAAACCACTTACGTTTCTTGGTCTAAAAGCTTATTGGAACGAAGCGAAGATGCGAGCCCAAACTTGTCTGGACTACTGCTGTGCCAAGCATCGCAGTACGCATCCATTGCTGGTTCACCATTCGGGTTAGCGCCATGCCACACTGCTTTAGTAGGCCTAAAGGCAATGGATATTGAACATTAGAAAATAGTCGCAAAAAGTTAACATTTCGCGAATGTTCTTTGGATTATATTGGCTTTTTTAGACGCGAAACGAACGTATTATGAGCATGTTATATAAATTCGATAAGCTTAGGTTTCATAAAAGTAGCAAGCTTTATTTGATGTGATGACTTATGCTCGAATACTGAAAGGCTATTCGACTTTAAATCGTATTTAAATATCGTGCTATTTCTGTCATTTTACATGAATTTATAGTGAACAGAACTATACTTAAACGCGACTTAAATATTGAGTGACTTTTGATTATTTGGACATTAATTGGTAAAATACATTATACCTATCTGACAAATGTAATCCAAAGAACAAATTATTGTAGTATAATTTAACTATAGTAATGGTATTCAATTACAAGTTACGAGTGAATCTGTCTCTATTGATATGATTTTGTTAAATGTGCAGCCAAAATAAAGAAATTTTGTTGTACCTACAGCTTGGGATAGAGCAGATAATGTAAGAAAATTTCAGTACTCAGTACCAAGATATATTTCGAGTTGCTACCAACCAGTTAATTTAAAATCATTGGGCGACGCTAATGTTCAGTAAAGAACGAATTATGGATAATTACCTATCTTGTACATATATAGCTATCTATCTATATTAATAATTTCGTCAAAGGGCACGGTAGACTCGATAGAAACATTACTTGAATAACAAAACATAAAAAAATATCGATTTCGAGTCGACAACATATATCCGCAAAATTCGGATTACGGAGATTATTTCGTTTTATTAATTCATTTTAATGACACTGACAGACAAACCGCAGTCGCCATCTTGAGTAAACAAAAACGTTCCGATTCATACTAGCTCTCAAATACGCCTCGTTGTTGCGTCAAAAAAGAATAAATTAACAAGAAATATGAATAATTTCACGCGAACGAAATCGCGGGTAACAGCTGATGTTCTAATAATGATGAAGAAATGTCCTTATACAATTCAAACGCCCAGCGTTTATAATATCAGTGCTCAAAACAAAACCACCACACCCTGATTCGCATTAATCCCTCAAATAATAATTAGAACAAAACTCATAACCAACTTTATTCATAAACACGGTGACAATTAGTTCATACACTAAACTTTATTAATTATCTCTTGTGGTCTGAATTCCAGTCTTTGTTTTAGTTATTTAGGTTGCTTAAATACCAGGACCAAACCTTCTGTTTGAATTAAAGTAAATTTAAATTCAAACATCAATTTCGATAATATACTATTTTATTTACTATCGTTGACAGTCTTCTGTAATAGGAGGTCATCTGGATAGATGACTAATTTTTATTTTAATATCCATCTGGTAATTTATTTTGAAACATTAAACACGATTTTTTATTTTCTTACGAAAACAAATACTTTCGACGATACATTGATTTGAAATATCACGTGAAGTCACTTCTAAGTACGTTTTATACGTAGAAATGACGTACTTAACTCCTACTAGTGTAACTTTTATTCGTTTTAGCCAAGTATTGTTTTCTAAGAACACGAGCTAAATAGATTTTTAATTTCTATACCCCTATATCATCCCTATTTGTGGATAATCAGTAATCACCATTAAATATCGACAACTCGTCAGATTCGATTATTATAATTATTATGGGCCTCCTTTAAAAAATAGTAGGTTGCTGCCTACTGTCTGCTCTTATAAAACTCGCGCTAAGAGAAGTAATGGTGACAATTGTATTATAGGTACCCTGACATTACAATCAGTAATAAAACCTGCCCCCAAGTACATATTTCTTTGGCGGGATCACGAGGATTATCTACGCTGAGATTGAATAAATTGATAGGGCGTCCTTCTCCGAAACTTACTCTCATTTTTAATTGGAAATTCTGAGAATTTTCAGTGAACGTGGACTTTGTTTTTCGATGTTCTTTATTATATTATATTATTTATTCAATACAATTGAAATTAAAGTAAGAAAAAAATATTTCATAAAAGATTTTTGAATAAAATTTTCACATGGCGTAAATGATATTACTTTACTACTCACAATACGTTACATTTTGTAGCATTTAGTGACGTAACGACCTCCCACTCCTAAACTTAACTCCATTTTATCTAATTATTGTAACTTTATACTAACGATAAAATTAAAAAATACGTGTCAAATATTTTTTCATTATCTAACTGACAGACTAATTAGTTTTTTAATTTTCATTCCCTTACAACTACCCTATTGAATTGACTGACTACACAAACTACTTGTATAGTAATAAATCATTTTCTAAGTATTAAGAAGCTGTATTACTCAACATTCCTAATCACAAACTTCTAAGAAAAACATCAAGTATTGTCTAAATTCATACAAAACGAACCAATATAAAGGGAATACGAATCCAATCTATATCTTGTCAATTCCAAGAAAGCTGTAACATTTACACTCTCATTTTCACGACGAGCAGTACAATATTCCAGGTTTGACTAGTCTGAGTGTATTGGTTTCAAAGATTGAAACAGTACCTAAGTAGTAATACTGCAAGTCGTTCCTAAATTGCCAAAGAAAATAAGGCAGTTTATTTCTAGGTTATCAGATTCCTTGGAACCTGTTTTCCTTTCAGTCAGCAATTTTCTTTCTTTCATGTCCAATTCGTCATAGTGTTTTTCGCCGAATCTGTGTCAACGACTTATTTAGTGAGCGAATGTACTACAGTGTTTTGTTTAATCAAATCTTCAGGCTTTCGACTTTCTGTTTCAAATTACGTAATAGGAGCTTAGTGAACTGGAGATTCCGGGAAATGATTGTTTTTGTTTGTACAATCTTAGAGAAATGGTAGTGGATAGTGAAGAATTGAATATTATGTTCGAAACCGATTTCAAAACAAAAAAAGGAGGTTCTAGTTTGACCTGTTATTAGACCACAATGTCGTATGGGGTTGTAGAACAGATCATATCCAACATTAATTTTCAAAGGTATAGGCGAAAATGAACACTTGAACAGTTGTTTTCAAAATGATGCCTATGGTAGCTCTAAAACTGGAAAAACTAAAAAGAAACGCGCTAGACCTATATTTCTTTTTTTATTATCTTTATTTATTAATTTATTGACTAGTTTTTTTTTATGGCATAAGCAGACGGATCACTTGATGGTAAGCAATCGACGTCGCCCATGGACACCTGGAACACCGTTACCGGTCTTTTGGGGATTAGGAGTTTGAGGATCGTTGGGGATCTAGTAGTAGTTCTAATCATAAAATACACAATAATAATATTATTTGAAATACAGTTATCCCAAATTCATATAATATAGGAAATTTCTAAATCTCCTATATCTTAATATTTTTTTACACTTATAAAAGTATACATATATGTAAAAATCCACTATTTCAGTAAAATATTGATAACATTTGTCTATCTTTGTAAATAACACCTTTAAGTGACTGACACGTCGACTTTCGTTTGAAATTGAGTACCACTTCAATAATAAAGCTTTAGCACCGCACATAGAACCTCACTCAAAACTTAAGCATTACTCAAAATTAGTTTTCAATTAATCAAATGACTTGAAATTAATTTTGAGTAGCAAGTTTTGTAATAAGAACTTTACATTCTAGGGAAATTGTCACGAACTTTGTTAGTAAAACCTAGCAATTATTTGATAGATATAAATCACCTACAGTTGCCATGTGAAATAAATTCATCACTCATTCATGACCATTCTGTCTTAGAAATGGGATGATGTTTTTTATTCATTTATTTAAGTTAAGGCATATTAACAAAATAGACAAAATCACAGAAAGTCAAGGAATCAACTGAGAAATAGATTAGTGTATATCTTATTTATTTTCTCTTATAGCAGTGTTAAGATTGTACTATAAAATACGATAGGATTTTCAAACACTCACCATCCAGGATCCATGAGGACATTTTGTCCACTGAAGCTGTAAATCCGGGGAGCGTGGGCGAAGAGGGCTCCTGACCCGTCGAACATCTCGCCCCACGAGTTAAACAGCACATCGCCCCTCGTATTCACTACAGGAATCTCTCTATCCACCCAACTTACGATAGAATCTATTGTTTGAACCCTATTAACGAAAAATAGACATTGAACACTTCTATTAGATAATTTTATTCCAACATTGATTAGGATACAAATCGTATGTACTACAAACGGGTCGTTGACATCATAACCAAATATTTTGTTTATTTTTTTCCTTATTTTCTTGATTGTTACATAAAAGTCCTTATATAGCTCGTTGATCAAAGCTTTCTTTGTCTCGTACTTTGTTATACGCAACAGCCCATAACGTTCAAATATTCACATGAATATACCGCACAAGTTGACAAAGTGAAGAAAGGAATAAATGTTCAAGAATCTTTGCGTTAAAATGGTCAATAGTTTACAATGGGAATAAAAATCAGTTACTTAACGTTAATTGTGTCAACCAGAAACCACTCACCTAGACGATATAAAGGCTCTAAATGTGCCATCCATATTGGCCCTCAAAGATTGTCTTCTGCACTCATAATTACTGCTGCTAACCCCATGCATATCTCCTGTATGAGGCTCATTCAGAGCTGCCAGGCGTAACTACATAAACGAAAACACATTATTCAGAGTAGAACTACATTTAAGTCCCACAGACGTCACATTAAAATACAGAATAGATTTGTCATAAAAAAGGTGTCAACTTTATTTTCCCTGATTCTCGGTCCTGAATAAAAAGCGATTCCATTAGGCTCAAAGGAATCTAGTATTCATAGAATAAATCTTGTCAAGAGAGCGAAAATTATTAATGCCACCTGAACAAAGAATGGTTTCGCAAATTGCTCAAATATTATTTATTTAAACTTAGGGATGTTTTTAGTGAAGTAACTATTGCGTAATGTGAGGGAAGGTCACGGACTGACGGTTGGTTGAAACGCTGAATCATGATTATGTTGAAGCTTTTGTGTAGCAAAATGTTTTGTTTGTAAAACGTTGACTTTTAGTGCAACAGTCTTGAAGATGACTTTAAATCTTTGTAATTTAGAGAACAGCAGATTTAAGGACACAATTTTGATTTTATAGTATCGATGATAAATAGAAATTAATATACATTTTGTTCATAAAAAAACACAAAAAAACACAACTCACCACAGGGCCCTCTATGGCTGGATTCTTATGGTGCACTAAACTGGAAGTCTCTAAAATGTTCTGCAAAGGCGATCGAGTAGGTCCTCCGGCTGGCGGGGTGTGAATAGCCAACAAAGACCCCATCTAAACAAAAACAAACATTTCTCAGAACTTTCTCAAATATCTTCGCTAATTCATTGATTTTTTGCCCTCATTAATTTTGTCAGCAAAAGAAAATGAGGAAAAGGAGAAATTAGAGGCTGGCACCAAACATTGATGAATGCGCTTTAAGTATAGATAACGCTTAGACTTTCCCCACACAAAGAGGGAAAACAAACATTCCCCCGAGTACTTCTCAGCGATTAATTATGAGCTTTACTCTCTCGTTTTAAGATCCAAATTTAAATTTTATGAAATTGTTAACTCATTCAGATGTACATCCAGTGGGAATAGGAATAAGTTTCTTTCAAATAACAAGACCCGAATAAAGGAGGAGTTTCTTATTCCCAACAGGTTAAGGAAAAGAAAATTTTCTTTATTATTCATGAATATTTAAGATCTCGAATCTCGTGGCTATAATATTTAGAAATCAAATTTTCTTTTGTCAATGATAAAGAATGTTTTAACTCAACGAAACCGCTACAAGGATTACAAGGTCAAATCTTAAATTGATTAAACAATTTCATTGAATATTGAAATGCTTGTTTTCCATTAAACTACAACAAGTTAGATATATGTTTTATTAATCGGAGACTAATAAAAGTTTGTTTATAATAACGAAATTGATTAATCATAAAATTCTTAATACCCTAGAGGTCTTGAAGCTCTCTACTCAGTTTTTAACCCTAGAACCACAACATGGGGTCATGGGTGACCCCGCGCACACGTATTTTTATTTTAATTTTGCGAGTTTTGCATCTACAACGCTGTGCGTCTAGGTACCTTCCGTAATTGGTAATCAGTGGCCTGTGACTCATGGCGGGGTGCGCACGGTCATTAGGTTCGGAGATATTGCAGTTTGGGGTCGCCCGCGACCCGTGTTGTGGTTATCGAAATTATTTTCTTGTGATTAACTGTTGTGTGATTTCACGTTTATTTCACGAATAGTCTTTCAATATGGCATCAACGTCACGAGCCCTTGAAAGTAATCAAATTGAGCATCTTTTGGAGGAATATGAAGGTGAAACCTCCAGTTCTTCGGACGAAGATGGATCTGAAACTGCAGAAAATGAACATATATCCGAACACTCCGATGAAGATGATTTGTTTGATGTTGAATCTGGATCAGATGATGATGATGTTCTTCTGTCTGATTTCTGTATGGGCAAAAATGGTTATACTTGGCGAAGAACTCCGTTCACTGTTCCTAATACACGCACTGCAAGTAGAAACATCGTGATAAATCAACCTGGTCCTAAAGGTATCGCACGCGACGCAATAACCGAGTTAGAAGCGTGGAAGCAATTTTTTCCAGACGAAATATTAGATGTTATTGTGATGCATACCAATGCACAAATTGACAGAATTTCTGAGACCATAAAAAACCAACGTTACACTTCTAAAACTGATAAAGTGGAGTGGCTTTATTTGGATTAATGTATCGTAGTGGTTTATACAAAACAGCTAAAACAAACTTGTCCGAGTTATGGTCGATTGTGGATGGTCCACCTATTTTCAGGGCCACAATGTCAAAGAACAGGTTCGAATTTTTGGTAAATTACTTGCGGTTTGATGATCATGAGACACGTGAAGCAAGGAAAGTCAATGATAATTTTGCAGCGCTGCGTGAGGTATGGGACAAATTTCAAGTACTATGCTCTGAGTACTACACTCCGTCGGAACATGTAACAGTAGATGAACAAATACTTGGATTCCGTGGTCGCTGTAAATTTATTGTATATATGCCACAAAAACCTGATAAATATGGCATGAAAGTTGTAATGATGTGTGATGCAAAGACTGCCTACATGATATCTGCAATTCCATATGTAATTCAACTTGCAAATGAGTTACGCAATATTGGACTAACAATGATAGGCACGTTGCGAAAGAACAAACCCGAAATACCTCCAAAGTACTACTTTCTAAGAAACCTAAGACTTCAATTAGTACAGCCCTACGTGAAACGCCGCATTGATGAGGTCAAAAATTTGCCCCAATCTCTTAAAGTGATAATGCTTCATGTTTTGGGAGTAGATGAAGAAAACAGTGCTCAGGTAGCCCAAGCTCGATCAACTTCAAGTTCCCGCTGCTATTTATGCACTAGAGCCAAAGATAGGAAGGGCAGAGAGAAATGTGTTAAGTGCTCCAAAAATATATGTGCAGAACACAGGTTACCTATTTGTCACCAATGCATCTAGATTTTCATATTTGTACTATTTTTTTTCCCTTAAGCATTCCATTAATATCCAAAAAACCTTGTAATAATTGTTTAAATTTATTAAAGTGTAATATTTTGTAAGTAATCATTTTTTTATTTTGGGGTCACCCGTAACCCATGTTGTGGTTCATTTAATTAAATTTGGATGTTGTAGTTGTAGGGTTAATTATTCATAATTGCAGTCTTCTCTTCAATTACTTAAACATTCTAATGGGTACAAAGTAAATTATTCTAGCTTGTTAATAATTCCATATTTCATTTCATATTCCATTACGTGTCGTGTTAAAACCGGGTGTTTCATATTAGACCGCAACCATATATTAACTACCACGCATACCACTTCAGTCTATTGGCAGAGGAAATTACTAAAATTAACCCCATTTTAATACATTTATTTAATATACTACTAAAGTAAATAATTCGAATACCCTAGTGTTTTTGACCAGATGACTAAATATGGACAGTGAGTTATTATAATTATCATGTCTCGGTCCAAGATCCGCGATGTGTTGGCTTAATTTTAAAGGTCAAGGTTTCTGATACTATTATGTCTGTAAACATAATCATCATCATCACAATCTACAGCCTATAAATACCCGCTGCTGAGCAAAGCCTTTTCTCCCACGGAGAAGGTTTGAGCATTAATCACCACGCTTGCTCAATGTGGTAGGCGACTTAAAATTAGAAATTAAAGCCCAGGTTTTCTCACGATGTTTTCCTTCGCCGTTTGTCAGTGGTGTCCAAATAATCTTAGAAAGTACCTACATATCGGCATAAACCTACCTTATGCATGAGAAGCGGGAGTTTTAAACCACGACCCATGATGTGTTTATAATTATTAATTTTAAATAAGGTTACCAGTTTCATGAAAGACTATCACTTTAATATGAAAATGTTTGTTAAGATGAAGAAATGTTTGTTAAATGAAAGCTGGAAGTTATTAGTTGAAACTATAAATAATACTATACTCACAGCTACATACTGCCAGCCGTTGTTGACCCGGACTAGCAACGCTTGCTCTTGAATGACATACGCCAAAGTGCCTAGTGGGCTGCTTGTTCCGAGCTAATGGAAAATAAATGTTTTATTTTTAGTTTATACAAAATGAATGTTATTTAGTTTTACTGGCTTATGATGAAATGTTAATTTACCCGAATCAAAGAGTCAGTAGTCTTGAACAATATTGTTCCGACAATGGCTCTTCCATCTTCATCATCCTCAAAATCCCCCGAATCTCCAAGAGGGTCCAAAGGATCTCGGAACGCTACGAAAAACAATTTGTTTTCATAAACTATCCGAAGTAACAGAGTACTTGACTGGATTTAACTTCGAACCAATTTTTTGCAACATTAAAATGTAAATAAGAATTTTTCAACTCGGCGAGTTTCAAGTTGGAATAAGAAAAACAATCCCGACTTAGTTCCCGGTAAAAGTGTTTGTTAAAAACTATTGCGTACCGTACTGCTCCTGGCGGTATTGTACCAGATGGTTCAAGTTTCTTATAATTTGTAGAGGATCGCGTTGTTTTCCTGTTCAAAAAACAAACAAAATATTTTTAATACGGTCTACTTTTGCGGCGGATAGTTGTTTTTACATTTCGGTGATATTGGATCAGTCAAGAAGTTATATAAACGAGTATTTTCAGTTTGAGCGGACACCATTCTTACGGAAGCTATAATAGAAGTACATTTGCAGCGTACAAAGATAGGAAATTGAGTAATATAAATGTAGCTATGTAGAAAAATGTTACTCACCTCCGGAAGGTTCGTGACGATTAATTCCAGGGCTATCGGTCAATGTATCTGGCATTTCATTTGGATACACGCCGGGCGGTCCTGGTGGCCCCGGAGGCCCCGGGGGGCCGGGGACGGTCATGTATTGGATATTTGTTGCTGGGGATCCTGGCGGTCCTGGTGGGCCTCTGGGCCCCTCCTTGCCCGGCGGACCAGGAGCCCCATCATACCCTCGATCCCCTTTCTCACCTTTTACCTAAATAGTAAATTAATTTTCCATTTATATCTTCACAAGACCCAACTTCTTATTAAAAACTATGTGTTTCATTTTGTTTACCCTCAATATTTAGTTTTAAGAGTATGCGCAACACAAAAATGCTATTCCAAGAATCATGAAGAAACTTACTAAACATTTTAGCTTTTCTGTTTTGTTTATAGAAACTTCGGCGTTTTCTGGGATGTTTGTAAAATATTAAAAAGCTTCCCTTAGTTCGGTTCGCTTTAGTTAAGCAGAAAAATAAAAGTGCAACCACGTAGCTTGAGATGTTTGATGTGTATTGTAAACTTATATTTTATAAGGCATCGTTATTGATCGGAAATTTGCTAGAGAACTGCAGCGTAGGCTGTATCGATATTTTAGTGCCCCATTCTCCTCATCCGCTATAAAAGACTAAGTGGCTACGGTTGTTCGGAACCAGAGCCAAAGGCTCGTATTAGTCAATACGGAACAAAAGCGGATTGTTGGCCACATACGGGCGCAGTTTACACTGCATATTCTAGCCCCTATGTAGTTTTTGGGCCGGATATTTTTGATTCGGAATTTGGTCGAACTAGTTAGGATAACAAATTGCGTAAAAATCTGACGTAGAGTATAGAGGCTTTGTAAAAATGCCGTACACGTGTATAAGTCATTCGTTAGATTTAGTACAGCAGAAACAGTTTTATTTTTTCAGTATCAAGTCGGTTTTCTATTCAGTAAATATTAAACAGTTTATGTATGAGCGAACAATAGATAAATTCGGCTTCCTGGAAGCTATTCTGTTGGCTTATAATATAACGTTTACTTTCATTCGTAAAGAAGGAGAAAAACATACATACTCAACTGTCCAATTAACCTGATATATGGAATTACCTTTTCTAAGTCAAGTGGGGTTCCGCCAGGGTCTCCTTTTTCACCTTTCGGGCCGGGTGCGCCTGGCTGGCCGACGGCCCCGGGCGCGCCCTGTCATATGTATAACTGTAATTATGGTTTATCCGAAATTCGGCCTCAAGGGAATTCCTACCCAACGATTAGGTACCTGAAGAATTGAAGATACTCAAATGCGTTCTAAATTCAATTGAATATATCAAAGGTGATGGCAATAATAAACTGTATTTGTTCAGTAATACTTATCTGTACTAAAGGTGTGAAACCGAATAAATACCAGATTTTTCGAAATATTGTAAAAGGTATCGGAGAGATTCATGCACTCAAAGAGTTAGTTGTAACAAAATTTTGTTTCGTCAAAGCACAGATTTTCTTTCTTATTCAATAGAAAGAGAGAATAAAAGGTTTCGTACTGACTGTGAAACAGATAAAATACTGGCATTACTATACTTAAAAAAATCTACATTCTCACTAACAAATTAATATTATCTTATCCTAAAAATATGTATCTTACCGTCCACCCTGGCAGCCCTATATCTCCAAGTCTTCCATTACTGCCGGGAGTCCCAGGCGGTCCAGGAAGACCAGGTGGCCCTCGAGGTCCAGGTGGACCAGGATGTCCACGTTTACCCCTAGGGCCTGTATCACCTTTATCACCCTGTGTTAGAGAAAAGCTATCATTCAGTACTTGAAATAATAGAGTAAAGCTGTGTATGCTTTGACGAGTGAGTTACTGACTGAAAGTCAAAGCTCAGTTAAAGTATTGGTTTTATATGGAATAAGCCGGTAAACGAGAAGACGGATCACCTGATGTTATCATCAGGTCGGCAATCGGCATCGCCCATGCACACTCAGAACACCAGTGCCGTTACAAGTGCGTTACCGGCCTTTTGGGGATTAGGAATTTGAGGAGTGTTAGGAATTCAGGGATTGGGTAGATTGGGGAGGGGGGGTAGGGTATTCGGACGTCCGGTAATCTCACTTACACGGCGAATCACAATGCTAGCGTTGTTACATGTCTGTTTTTTGTGAGGCCGTGGTATCACCTTACATAAATATACTATTCATGACATTTTCATAAAGTAACATGATTCTACAGGGACCTCTAAAGGAACACTGGCGGAAGAAATTATCATGCATATGAAAAATGGGAAATCTATAATATACAGGTACAAAGTCACGGGCATAAGCTTGTAACTTATGAATCTTGTAACGTTTGTTCTGTACATATTCAACATGTACAAGACTTTGCTCTTAGCTTTGAACATTAATCATCTACTGTGTATATTCTAATTAATATTTTGAAACAATACCATGTTACGGTGTACCGAAAATATGTTTAGAGGTTTATTTATTTATTTATTTATTTATTTGGACATCCAGTTGTTGCTACATTTTTATCATTAACTTAAAACTAGGAATTAACATCTTACTGCTAATGCACAACATTTGAAGGACATCACAGCATGCGTTGCGTTGAGAACACTATATCAATTAAATTTAATTTACCTAATTTCTCTGCATTACCAAATTTGCAATAAATTAGAAATTATATAATTAGTAACAACTTTTGTTATTACTCATTATACAACAGTCAACCCGGTATACAAAAATATAAATACAAAACAAAAGAATAATCAAATATCAAAATAAAAGACACAGTCATTAAAAGCTCAAAAAAAATAAAAAAATTAACATTAAAATAAATATATAAAATCGGTTGCGAACAAATCAAGTCAACAGCAATATAATAACACAAAGTCAACAGCACACCACAACACTAAGCTTCATCTCTCAACAATCCCAGAACAGCTTTTTTGAATTTTGGCAATCTATCACTAAACATATCAACCCTCTCACAGACAGAGTTATAGGCTCTAGAAAGACGAGATATGGTGGAGAACCTCTTTAGGTTGGTTCTGGCAGATGGCTGGTGCAGCAAACCCGCGTTTATTAGTGCGCGCCTAGGCACACGTCGAGGTACACGCAAATTGAATAAGCTTAATAGTGGCGGACAGTCAAACTCGCTCCTTAGTACCTTGTACATGAACGTTATGTCATGCAGTTTTCTACGAACACTCAAGCGGTCCATCCTAAAATGTCTTAGTCTTTCGCTATACGATACCAAGCGTTTGTGCAGCCCACTGGCAAATGTTAGGTGTCCTAGGAAACGTCTCTGTATGCGTTCAACTCTAACTTGATGCACATTATACTGAGGCGACCAAACCACCGAGCAATATTCCAGTTGACTTCGCACATAGCTGTTATATAAAGTAATTTTAGTGGTTGGGCTGCGAAATAGTTTGCTGTTACGTATAATAAATCCCAGTATTTTTGACGATTTATTAATAATACTGTCAATGTGGGGCAAGAACGTCAACTTCGAATCGAAGATCACGCCCAAGTCCCTCATCTCAGCTTTCCGCTGCAATGTAGTTCCATCGACGAGGTATTGACTCTGTATTATGTTGCGGTTACGCGTGAAAGTAACTGTGTAGCACTTGTTTGTATTCAAAGACATTCTGTTTGCACTGCACCAGGTGGTTATGGCATCGAGATCTGTTTGAAGTAAGTTCCTGTCTGTGGGTTCAATCAGAGTTTTGCATATCTTTAGGTCATCTGCAAAAAGATAAGCACTACTGTGTCTAATACAAGAAACGATATCATTAATGAACAAGTTAAATAGCCAGGGACCAAGATGAGAACCCTGTGGAACACCTGAGGTAACAGCGTACGTTTGAGATTTAAATCCCTTTACCACAACATATTGCGTCCTGCCTGATAAATACGATTGGAACCACTTTAGCAGAGAACCATGAATACCGTAATATTCTAGTTTCGACAGTAACACCTGGTGACATACCCTGTCGAATGCCTTTGCAAAATCCATATAAACAGCATCTACCTGCACCCCCGAGTCAACCGCATTAACTATTTCGTTATGGTAAGTAACTAAATTGGTAGTTGTGGACCGCGACTGGATGAATCCGTGCTGCTCGTCAACAAATAAGTTTCTAGTATAATGCTTTAGGTAAGGATAAACTAAGGCCTCAAATGACTTCGCAAATACAGACAGAATCGATATGGGTCGGTAATTTGTAATATTTTCCTTATTCCCATTTTTGTGAATAGGGACTACCTTGGCAGACTTCCAAATTTCAGGAAATGCACCTGTCAACAAGGATTTATTCACAATGAGGTAAAAGGGCAAACTTAAAGATGAGGCACATCTTGATATAAAGTATGGAGGAATGCCATCCGGTCCCGCTCCCTTGCGTATGTTAAGACCCTTAAAGTGCCTGACGACCGCACCATACGCAAGTTGTATTTCACCCACAGTATTAGTGCTTGAGGTATTCTGAACGGGTGAAGCAGTATGGCAGGTGGATTCTACAAATGTGGAAGAAAAGTAGTTTGCAAATAGATTGCAAATTCCACAACCGTTGGACTCCACCGTATCGTTCAAAACCATAGTTTGGGGTATTTGAACTATATTACTGCACTTATCCTTTAAGTAGGAATAAAAGTATTTCGGATTAATTCTGATGTTATCTTGTTCTGGTATTTGTAGGAATGAATGTCGATATGAGTTTTTAGCCGACTTCAAAAAAGAAAGAGGTTCTCAGTTTGTTGGTGTATGTATGTTTGAGCGCAATTATCTCGAAATTAGTTGAATCGATTTAGATGCGGTTTTCAGTAGGAGAAGGTTGTAGTATATTAATTAACCGATTTTATTAGTGGTATTGTTAAAATATCAAAGATAAGTCTGGCATTATTTACCGGGGGTTGAGTTGTCGTAGGTTAACTGTCATTAAGTGGGTATATATATGTACTTCTGTCTATTATTATGGGGTATGCAATTCGTGAATAGATACTATTATCAGTCATAGAATTAATGTCATGACACTTTACCTTCGTTAGCACCAACGCTTCATCTCTTGATAATGCCACTGGTCCAGGTGGACCGGCTTCTCCTTTGTCCCCTTTTGGTCCATTTAGACCAGGAGGACCTTGGGTCCCAGGTAAACCAGATGGGCCGATATCACCACGTTCCCCTGGTTTGCCATCAGTCCCCGGAAAACCTTGAGCACCTTCCATCCCTCGAAGACCTTTTTCACCCTAAATGAAGTATTTCAATTAATTGATAAATTTTAAGGGATTTGGTGAAACGAAAGTTTTTGAAATTACATACATAACTTCCCGCTTGTCTACCATAGGGGGAAGGCAGAGACAATTATTGAATGCCAATTTCTAGGACCCCAAGATACTTCTTTCGCTTCATTAACAGACAGATATTTTCATGACGTTTTTGAAATTATTGGTAAGTTAACTTAGAAACGCGTTGTTTACGATACGTTAGAAGAATTTTTAACATAGAATCGTTGAAAATACTGTATGATGTCGGTGGCCGGAGATCGTTTAAATACAGGGTAGTTCTTGGGATTTACTCAATACCGTTAAAAGAATTTGCGTACGTAAATCCCTGACAAGGCATAATTAAAATAATTTCTAAGAAAACGAAGATATTCCGTTGTTTCTGATTGTTGTATTTTAGACGAAAATTCGTTTTTATTTGCTTGTGTAATTACCTTGTCTCCTTTCTCCCCTCTATCGCCCTTTCCGCCTTTCATGAGCGCCGCTTCTGTGGAAATATAATTTGATTTATTCTCAGTATGTAACGAAACATATGAAATAGGAGCTTATTCTCATGACAGAGTAGGTTTATTTTTAATTGCGTTAAATCTTGTTTATGTGTGTTTACGGATTTCTTCTTTGTCAAAATAGATTACCTAGTCACATATTGTACTTGTGTTTATGTCGTAGTGAGCTCGCATTATGTTTAAAGATACGCCTAGCAATATATAATTATTATTAAAAGGCATTTTAATTGATTTTGAAATACTATTAGGTACAATATAGATAATTATCAAACTTGACAGAAACTTGCATATTATGGACTATATTAACAAAATTTAAAACATAAATTATTGTATCAAATAAACAAGTATTTGATTATAATCAAAAGCCAGGTATTAATTTCTATGAAATATTAATATTTGTCATAATAACGTTTGCGATTAATATTTATGTTATCTTGTTAAATTGGATATTATTATTATCATTGATTAATTTACTGTATATTTTGATTCAGTTATGTATATGTATCTAATATGTAGGTATGTCGCAGTAATATGATAAAAAAAAAGGGATATGGCTACGTGTAGTCGGTTTTGTAGCAATTCGGTTCTGTCACTAACTTTTATTATTTCACTGAACCAAGTTTGGAATTTATTCAAATCACTAGACGCTTTTATTAAGATTTGTCAAATTACCAAACTTGCTTCGGGAAATGATAAAATTGTGTTGTTATTTTGACATCCTCCGTGATTTGATGAAATCCCTTAGGGGTTTCGGCAAATCCCTGTTTTTATCATATCCCTATATGTATATGAAATAGTAATTTAAACAAATACTTACTAATTTATTTACAAATTCACATACCTATCTTTTTTTTTTCTTTTTTTTTTAAAAAAAAACATTGCCCCACACTACAATTATCTCCTGCGTCGTGGGTGCGTTTTACAAACATACAAATTCACATACACATGACACCCAGACCAGAAACAACACGTGCGGGAATCGAACCCGCGACACGTTGCACGGCAGCCGGTTGTCCAGCCACCGCACCAACCAATGATTAAAAAGTTGTTTTTATATTATGTTTAAACAAATATTAATATATATTTACATATTATGTTTAAACAAAAAAGTTATAATTTAACTACCTCATCAGTTGAAGGACGCAAGGAATTTCGGGTCAAGTAAAGGTTCTGGCTGTTTACATTTTTGAAAACATTTTAGATAAAATATCTATTATGCATTATTATGAACCGGGTAATAAACGTTTATTATTCACATTTTATTAAGACAGTAAAAAAGTAAGTCCTTACTGTGAAATAAAATACTCTTTAGTGTTGCAACATTGTTTACAAAGTCGCAAGTCAGTTGCTTTTACGCGTATCTCTTTGTTTAACTATGCCGTCAATATAAGTAGATTATTAGAAATAAATTCTACTAACTCTGAACAATTTTCGCATAAACAGTTTTATTATAACTTATAATACTAAGAGCCCAATTACTCCTTCTCCCCAATCACCCCAATCCCAGAATCCCCCACAATCAGCAAATTCCCAATTCCTAAAAGGCCGGTAACGCATTTGTAACGCCCCTGGTGTTTCAGGTGTCCATGGGCGACGCCGATTGCTGACTATCAGGTGATCCGTCTGCTCGTTTATCGGCTTATCCCATAAAAAAGATTGACTTTCTTGAGATATATGTAGATCTAGCTGGTTTCTGTGTACCTTACATGTAAGTTCAAATTCACACTATATTAACAGGCTATAAGTGCCCACTGCTGAGCGAAACCTCTTCTCACACAGAAAAGGTTTGAGCATTAATCACCATGCTTGCTCATTATCTACCATCTATTGTAACATACCTGCATTGACGAAATAAACAATATTTGTATTTGTATTTATTCATGAAAAACAGGCATTTTAACCTCGGGCCACATGACACTCAAATTCAGATTTACTAATAATTTTGAAATTAAAATATCCTAATGACAGACGTAGGCAGCTTATTAGGTCAAATAAAGAACAAAAAATTGACATTATAATCTATAATCATCATCAGCCTCAAATTATTTCTGAATTTTCACTTTGTGGAGTTTTGTTTGTGCTCAAAGCGAATATGTACCTACAAAGATAGTCCAATAATAACCACACGTATCAGAATGTCTTAGTATCCATGCTGTATAACACCTACTTACCAAAATGTAAAATAATTATTAAAGAATTGATGTACTCTGTAAAAGGCTGTTCCTCCTAAAGTCTCTCTGAAAACTCCCTCCATCTGAGCGCTCCATTAGAAGGGAACTTAATTAGTGACTTAGAAATTAATGTTTTAAACGTTTTGTCTGCCTGTACGAGTTTTCAACAGTAATTATTTTCCGCGTCCTTCATACAAAGTTGTGATAGAGTAAAATATCGTTTGTTTCACATAATTATGGGTGAATGTTGATCGTTCAAAGTGTGTCATTGACTTATATGAATATTGAATATGTTTTACGGAAGAAAGGTATTGAAATTCAAGGACATGGAAAGAGTTTAGAACCTCTTTGTATTACCTAATTTGGTGTTTTTATATTATAACTTTCATGAGACATACTAAATGAATTATAGCAGCAGTGACAGTCATCGCGTCATGCGTCGCGGAATTCTGATCATGAATATGAGCCTCTAGTGCGGCTTGAAACTAGTTGAGTTCCTCATCAAATAATTACTTGAATAAGGCGAAAAAACTAAATAATTCGTTTTTGTTTACTGAAAAAAAAAATACTTTTTTTCCCCGATAAGGTAAAACAATGTTTGGTTTATGTTTGTTGCTAAAGAATCAGATTTTCCTTCTACCCTTCCTGCAAGTTATAAGAGACACAAAGAGTGGTTATTAGTTAGAGAACTTTGGAAGTCCATTTTGCTCACCCCTTATGCTAAGGGGCTTCATGGAAATGGTTTAGATACCCTGCAGTCCACATAGAAGTAACAAAAACAAATCTTTGCTATTCATTAGGTTAATTACAAATAAACCTTAATTCTTTTCCATTAACTGTTTGTATTCTTCATGTATTTGCTTAATTTTTTTCATTGTTAAAATTAAATACTAGAGCGAACATCTTTTAGGAAATATTATGTTCTTAACACGTTAAACGCCGTGTGGGTTACCGGTGACCGGCGTTAGCGGAGGATTTACCTTCAACAGTTTTTTATTGGCAAGCAAAGTCTGAAACAACTTAAACGAAATTAACTTCTATTCGTATTAGACAGCGTTTAGTTTTGAATATCACAGACATTCTATCTTTCAAGACACCAAACGAGTGTCCCACGCAGTTTTAATCCATTTTGTATTAATCAAATGCTACTAAAACCAATAAGAATGACAGTCAATACTATTTATGTTGATTAAAATGTAGTGCTTAGACAGTTCCCAATGTGTAGTTTTGTCTTGATTTGAAATTGTTTAAATTCGACTTGGATTAACACAGTTTCTGTCGATTCCCACAAGACAGATAATACATTATTTAGCTAAGATTCGTTGAGATCTTGAGGAGTCAAATGTTTCTATAATTTTAGTTTTCATGATATTTTTTGGTTTCGTAGCATTGTTTGATGCTTTAGAAATAAAATAATGCATCTATTCATCTATCTATTGTTAAATTGTTATGTTAAAATGCGTTAGTGTGATGTGTATGTAAATTTGTATGTTTGTAGAGGCACATGACACAGAAGAAAATCCTAGTGTGGAGCAAAGATTTTTTTAATACGTATTTTTGACAATTTTGAGTTTGATATGTCTAACAAAACGGTGTTATATGTTCTGTGGTGTACTCCATATTTATGTAACTGATACTTTTCTGTTTGGACAAAAATACATACTAAAGAATAAGTGCTACATACTTCATCAACTAGACATTCTAAACCTAGAAATAGATCACTAAGCTGTTCAACCTCAGTATATAGAAACGGTTCGACCAGTATTATAAATGAGCTAATACCGACCATTCAGTATAAACTGATGCTCATACGAAGATGATTAATGTGCCGATGGCAATAGATAATAGATGGCCTTATCCCAGTGATACAGGCGCGCTCATTTTACGATATCAATTGAATATAGGTCATTGTACCCGTTTATTAATTTCTAGTAGTTATAAGTGCGATTACTGAGTATAATCGAAGGTTTATTTTTATCTGTTATTCCCTAAAGGGGTTGGTACCAGTATTGTTACTTTATCTTGCATCCACTTTTTACACAACTGTAGGAAGTATATTGTTGCAAATGCGATGCTAACTATCTGCAAATAACATATAGTCGCAAACTAGTATTTTAATACTGTAATCCAAAACTTGAATAATAATTTCAATATATACCTTTAAAAACAGTCATTAAATAAAAATGATCAGGGTTCTCATATTTTGGTAGTCAATTTTGTAAATATAGACCAAAACAGTCATCTTAGCTACTTAAGGTGGAAGGATAAACTTCGTGGTTGTCAGTCAACATTTTTAAGTGTAAGAGATCCATGCTTAGGTACGAATGGGCTGGCTCAACCGGAGTGATACCACGGCCTCACAGGAAACCGACATCAAACTACACTTGTGTTGTGTTTCGTCATATGAGTAAGGTTACCAGAGGCCCAATTATGGACCCCCTCCCAATCCGCAACAATCCTTAAATTCCTTATCCCGTAAATGCCGGTGACGTATTTATAATGCCTCTGGTGTTCCAAGTGTCCATGGGCGACGCAGATTGCTTACCATCCGGTGATCAGTATGCTCGTTTACCGGTTTATCTCATAAAAAAAACAATACAGTTTGTTGATCAAATACCTATCGTACTTTCAATCATGTTCATTTAAACACAATAACAAAAAAGAATATAAATAGCCTAATAGCATAGACTAAAACAAACATTCTTACTTAAACATATTGGCCCAAAATACTCGCACGAATAATTAATTTAATGGTACTAATCAGTTGATAGATTGATTGATAATTATCTAGTGTCGTGTTAACTATTAATCAGTCGAAACAGACACAAGTGAACAGTTTCGGTGCTGTGGCAGTTGACAACCTAGCCCAATGTATTAAATCTTTTCATTGTAGTATCGACTTTATAATCTAAATAGTAAGGTGGGAAATGTAATATGGAAATTGAGTAGAAATGATAGGTTGGCCTGCTAGTCACTGTACTAGAAATGTTTAGGAACTATTCATAATATTAAGGGTTTTCTTTTGTTTGTGTATAATTAGTCGAACGTATAATTAGTGTTTTGAGAAATTGTGCTACGGTTTTGTTTCTGCGCTTAATTTTGTTTGAGGTATTATTTTGAGAATTGATGATTGTGTTTACATTAACAATAATAAATGAAATCGACAATAATTATTCTGAATGATGATCGAGATGCGAGAAGATAAAACGATATTTATTCTGGTTTTCGCATAGAATATGATTCCTGTTTTATCCCATCATCAACAGCCTATAAATGCCCACTGCTGAGCAAAGCCTCTTCTCACACGGTTTGAGCATTAATCACCACGCTTGCTCAATGTGGGTTGGCGATTACAAACCCAGATTTCCTCACGATGTTTTCCTTCACCGTTTGTCAGTGGTGTCTGAATAATCTTAGAAAGTACATATAACTCGGAAAAAGTCACATTGGTACTTGCCGTTGGTAGGTTTCGAAGCCGCACCCTCATGCATGAGAAGCGGGCGTCTTAAACCTCCGGGCCACCACGACATCCCACGTTTTATGCCATGGGAGTATTTAATAAAATGTATCCTTTGACCTAAGTCAGCACAAACTCTGCCTCTATACCAATTTTCATCAAAATCCGTTCAAAGATAGCTTCAGAGTGATTGACGGACAAACATCTAAACATACACACATAGTGGCAATGGATTGGTGTTTTCGTTATTAAATACTTTAATTTTTACATAGAACTACACAAAATAGTTTCCTTATAAGGTTATATAAGATTTCCTACAAGCAACATTCATAACATTAAATATTCTAACCTATCAAGGTTTTAGTCCATCAAAACATGAATTAGCTTCGACCTAAGGCAGCAAGCAAATATATTCAGATTTTAGTCAAGTCTAAACCAATATTAATGAACTATACCATTACGTGATCATGACAGTCATTCCATTCAGTGCTTATGTAATAAATCTATCGTATATTAGTAACTATAATTAACTAATTGGTTTTACTGATATAGTATGCCAAATTTTAGAAATTAATGTTGACATTTAACTAATATTAGAAGTGCCTTATGATGAATTAGTGTTATAGTATCAACTGTAATAGTGTTTTAATTAAATTATCTATAAACCAAAGAGGTAACATAAAAATGAGGTAGATATCCTTATGTCGTTTATTATTTAATTACGTCCTGCTTTGTACAAATAAGAAAATTAGTCTAGGGCATGTTAGGTACCTAAATTTTATCCTTACATTCATACATTATTTAGCAAACAGCTGTAGCTGTAGTAAAATCTTAAGAAAATTGCCACGAACATTACCTAGATATAACCTACATAGAAAATACAAAATTGCGTTGAAATATGGCTTACCTGTGCGCGTGACGTCAGTTGATATAGCGTTTTCAGATATAACTGGGACGGCTGGTCCTGGGGGGCCGGGGAGACCGCGAGCACCTACATTAAGATTAAATATTAGATACAAGTTAATGTTATCTAAAAGGGTACCTACTGGGACGAGAAAAAACTAGGATAAACCTAAAAATAAATGCTTTTGCGATAAACCACTTCAAAATGTTCGGATTATACAAATGGACATCATAAAACACACCTGTCCAATTTCGTAAACATTTATTTCAATATGTTAACTTTACGTATAAACCCAAAAAATAATACGTACGCTACCCCAAAACATCCGATACAGAAATAAAACAAAAACTCTCAAGACGATCGTAAAAAGTAACAACAATAATAAATAAACTGCGTGCAAGCACTCGAAAACCAATCCAAAGGGTTCACTGCGCGAAGAAATAAAGATTTTCCAAATCGTTACTATAAACCCCTAAAAATCTCGCGAACGCTTTACCCGCGTATAAATATGGGTCATAGAGTAACATAAAATTTGATGGTTGAGTTAGTTTGTACCTTTTTCGCCTTTTTCGGCGGGGCGCCCGTGAGGGCCCGGCAGGCCCGGCGTGCCATCGCGCCCGGGTTGGCCTCGCTCTCCCTTCGCGCCATGTGGCCCTCTCAGGCCGACGTAGCCCTGTAACGCAGTTATGAGCTTAGGGGTCGAAAGTAACATAACATGGCGTTACGAGGGTCAAACCGTCACTTATTGCGTTAGTCCCAAGTTTATTATCCGAATACCTACTAATTTGGCGACGGGGTCCGTGTGATTTTATTTTGATTTAGTTGTTCTCATAAAGTTCTATGGGTGTTTCCGACCTGTTCTCTTTAGTAAGGTGACGTAAAGCAGGCCTGTACTAAATTAATATTGAGGAAGTAGAAACTATACTGCTTGTTGTGTATAACACACACAATATTTGGTGAACACGGAAGGCAAAATAATGCTGTTCGAGTAACAGGTAACGGAGTGGAAATTTTCTGTTACGTTTTAGTAACTCAGCGAGCTCAGGTGGTTTCAGTTTGACATAAATATCAGACTTATTCGGGTATACAGAGTTTTGTGTAAACCGCAGAAGTTTTGATGGATGGTCGGGGGAAGTTTAGCTAGGCTAATAACCTATTTTCATGGTAACATAGAGGCAGTGAAATGAACTATGGCCGCAGTTTGGCTGCACGTGTCTCTAATTTTATTTTGGTCATGTTCCTAGTAGGCAAAGTTCACATTGTCGGATCCTAAGTAAAGGGTACATTACATAATTGATTTATCAGAATCAATAAGCCGTCCTAATCCGGTAATCCGATTATTAATATCTACTCTGTATTCGCACCCTCAATTCCATGTATCAACTAAAACAGTTCTTCATAAAATAAGGTTTGTTTCACCTTACGACTACGACAAATCGTATCGTATTAATCACTCACAATATTTCCACTTTAAATAAGTTATCAAATAATTATAAGTTGATCGAACATATTTTAATGTTTATTTTGTAATGCTAAATTGCATTCGCTTATTATTTTAATTAACACAGCAATATTATACCGTGCAAATTGGTATTAATTTTTCAATAAACTAATTAATTGAGCAAGTAATATCATTCGAAAAAATCTGTAACAACATATCGATTTAATTTAAACATTCAAAAATTAATAATACAAATGAAAACCCTATACTGTTAACGATACGGATCATAATTGTTTTTTAAAACATGAACAATGTAAGTCTATGTCCATAATCGTGAAGTATAAATAACATAGTTCACATAACAATATCATATTCAGATAACACTCACCCTTTCTCCTTTGTCCCCCTTAGGGCCATGTAATCCTCTCTCGCCTTTATTTCCTTGATATCCTCTTTCTCCTTGAGGACCCGGGAGGCCCATTGGACCCCTCTCTCCAAGTATCCCTGGATTACTAGACCCGTATAATCCCGTTGATTCCTGCGTAAGACATGGTGATTAGAAATGTATACAAAAGTTGCAAGAACAAATAATAGTAGCTGTTACATAATTCTCGTGGGTTTGAATAAAGTTTACGGAATTGTGTGATGTAATGTAAGATGGGGTTGATGACCTCTTTGTTAGTGGTAATGAGATCAGACCCAGATGGATCATCTCGCTATTCAGCTTTCATTTAATGTTGTAAGGGTATGGCAGTTGATGCCTATATTTGGCTCTGCCTAACATAATATTATGAATGTACAACTTGAAATTAACTAAAACTAAAACAGCGAATAAAAAGAGAAAGATTAAGGGAAAAAACGAAATTCCGTCAGTTAGGCATCAAATAATTTGCCTAGTATAGTTACTAGGTAGATTTATTGATAATGCATGTGATGTAGGCATCATTGCTATTATGACTCTTTTGCTGACTACGATAGTTATATGTTGTGCATTAAATATAGTAATCATAATTATATTAGTTTTGTAAGAATAAAAATGTTATAAATGGTTTGTATAAGCGTAATAAATGGTTTTTCTTCCTTACTTTCTTTCTTATACAAAAAACTAATGGTCATCGCATGTACGCTATTAAATTATAAACAAAGCCTGGACTTATGGGTATCTAACTAACTTACAATATAGTACATAGTAGCCTTATCAATTTACATGAATCTTGAACCAAAACTATAATAATATATCAAGCTACGAGAGATTCTAATTACGTATCAGAAATTGAAGTTGATATATTGGAACCCCGATAAATAGCTGGGATATTTACATAAAATAACTTATAGGGTTGCGTGTTGATTGTTGCATTATACTATAAAGCCTATCTATGTTTTAAACTTTAAAGGACTTTTAAAGGACACGGTAATAGTACATTACATATAATGATATCGTAGTACTATGATAGACATTTTTGTTATAAATCTTTTTTTATATGGAACCATTGCAAAAGAAACTGTAACAGTGCTTGAGTTAAGAATCGAAAAAACGTTGCGTATGAAGTTGGTATTTTCCACATCATAGGATTTGAATGGCCTTATTATATTGCAGTTACGTACTTAATTACACCAAATTAGCTAAATTGGGTTATCTCAAAGTCATCACCAAAATATGATTTTGACTACCAAAAGAAAAAATGACTAATTCTCTCTTCCTATTGGTCTCGCAAATTAAATTTCAAATACGTAAAAGCAATGAACGTAACACAACTCGTACCATTATATAATAAATCTATTTTCAAGCACCATACTGTATAGAAACTTTACTACAAGTAAATTAGCAAGCTTAACACGCCTTTCTTGAACCATTCACTTTAATAAAAACTACGTACACTACACTTGGAACAAGAAACGCTTCTACTCTAAAGAAAATGTGGTAAGACGAAGGAATACGGGTTGAAAGCATAAGGTCAGTTTGAACTAATTTCTGTGGGTAAACTCTACCCACATTCAACACGCAACTCCGCAGATAGTTTGCTGCAGTCATTTATATCTGTTTAATTCTAGGTAAATAAAATGAAGCCTTTGAATCTAATGCTAAGTAATTGATTGTGATAATTTAATTTGTTCTTTCTAGCTTTTTATCGTGACTTTGTTAGCAGTAATATTTATAAGCATCTCTAGGATCTAACGATTAATAAACCTTAATAATAACTTTGTCTTATGGATCAAATTAGATTCACCCCTAATTATTTTATGGTATCTTTGACATATCTAGTGAAAAGCGGTTTTTACATAAAACATGCGCATCTTTGGAGAATAAAAGGCTTGAAGTTGTATAATTTTCCAATATCTAAATTTTAGGCAACATCAGGAAACACGCATGCATGAATCCAATAACTTGATTTGCAATCGATGCATTGCAATTCTCGAAGGATCCAATACAATGAAATGTGAATGTCGAATGTACTTTAGAGATACTCTAGCCTTGATTATCAAGAGAAATAATCATAATACGATGGCCCTTAAATTATATTTCATCAATATTAATGATACTTGAATACAAAAATTGAGATTTCTGATTCTTAATATCCTGTTTGATATTAAGCAAACCTTAATTAATATAGCTTTAAACCTTGTTGTTATTTAATACAAGATCACAGAAGATTTCAGCTTGGTAACATGAAAAAATCCATCTGAGCGAAGCCAATTTATTCAGATAATGATGTAATTAATCTTTTGCCGAAATCTACACAACCCTTTTGCCAATAAAGATTTTTAAAATTTTGTAAAAGACGTGGGACGAAATACCCGAGGAGATTATTACAAGTAAATAGTCTAACTTCTTTTAATCCGGCTGAGCTTAGAATTAAATTGCAAAGTAGTAAAAATCAATCCTGTTATTTTTATTAAAACGTGATTCCATTTTTTGACTCTATTAATTCCACAAAATTATTACGAAACACAAAATTACTTACTATTAATGCTGACGTTATAGGTGCTGGTGGACCAGGTGGACCAGGGGGTCCCTGTAGCCCGGGTGCTCCATCTGAACCAGGATCACCTTTAGGCCCCGTTTGACCTTCGGAACCTGGTGCGCCAGTCTCGCCCCTCTCTCCTCTATCTCCTTTTGGCCCCACCGGCCCAGGCGGGCCCGACTCACCCATTTGTCCCTGAGACGGAAAAATAGTAAATTCCGCGAAAACAAAGTTAGAATCTAATTAATGAGGATCAGATAATGATATCATGTTTATAAATCACTACAATTTGTTGTAAGGCACTGAAAAACTACGAGGTCTTATGAAGATATTCGTGACAAGTTAATGCTGATTTGTTAGGTAATTTAATGAGTTTTCTAATTATATCTCACTTTTATGTTATAAAGTGGTTTAAATCCAATATTATTCAAAATAACTCAGATACCACTATTACCAAGTAGAAGTTGAAAATTAATATTTTGCCCTACCCACTAAATCTCTAAAGGCAACAGACTTATTAATTTCGCTGAAACAGAGTAATTTACATCATTAATGATAACAACGTAGCATATAACTAAATCTTAATTACATATGTAATATTTGTATAATGATTACATTCGTTACCGTCGAGACTTAGAAGATTAAAGCTCAAATGAAAGACAAAGGAATGGCGAATAGCGGCAGCGGAATAATTGATATCAACATTTTAAACTACAGTTGTAAAAGTGTACAGATCTTCAAGTTGCATTTGATACAGTAAACTGAGCTTTCCCATTTACTTCAATACATTTTCTTTCATTCCTAGACTCATCGAATAGCCGATCGACCAGAAAAATAACAACTGACAGGCTTTTAAAACTTGAATCACGAACTCCAAGTTTTCAATTGCCACTTTCGTCGGTTTAAATGGTATTTCCCAAGGGTGCATTTTAGGTCCAATTTTAGATGACGACAAGATCATTTGTTTTATAGAACGTGTGACCAAAATTAATATAAAAAATACGTGACGTTAACATTAATTTTTATCCTAAATTCAGCTTAGTGTAATCGATTTAGTAGATTAAAATATAAGGCCCTCATATAGGGCGCACACTCACAAATTATGACTCTCATTTTGACTTCTCTGTATGTCATGTTTCCAAATAAAATGTAATATACTAAAAGATAAACGATTGTCGTGAAAACCTATATTAATATTGTTTGACGTAACAATGCCGTCCATCTTTATGAAAAATGTTGATTACATTTGTTTCTCTATTGACATTTTTACAATCTGTTTTTTTTTTATCTCAATTCTTGGTAGTGAATTTTATGAAACATCCAATATTGAAACATAAACGTGAAACAAAAACGGAAAGTAAATTTAAAACGCTACACTTCTTTTAACTTTTATTTTTCATATGAAAGTTAATATGTAAAAATATTCGAATTGTTGATTTAATAAAATAATATAAGAACTTGGTATTTCAAGTACTTAAAATTTTATACTAATTGACAAAAGTTAAACCTACCTAGATTAAAACATACGTATATTTTGTCTTTTTACAATTAAAGTTGCTATTGAACCGCTGCCGCTTTTGCTAAGCATGCCGCCTTATAATTCTGCGCCTTGAGTGTAATCATATCTTTTATTAACCTCATATTTTAATCCACAGAGATCCCAAGACATTTTAGAGAGCTAGATTTCCCTTGATAATCTCGAACGTTAATGTCAGCCAATAAATAACTCCAAGACTGAAGTTACCAGTCTTTTGCATATAATTTTACTAATCCCATACTTCTTACCTACCTTTTACATATGAAGTAGATATTACAATTTGTTTTATAAATAGGTAAATACTAAACGTAGCTGAATAAATTTAAATTACTAAATGTTTTTAGACTATTTCACTCCTGACTCATGCCAGTGAAAGCTATTAAAATTAGGTACATAGTTTTGTTTTACTTATTTTAAAAGGACTACACAAATATCTTTAATCAGTAAGACAGTGATATCCTAAGATGTTAATTAAGTATTAAAGTGATAACTGTAAGCATTCTCACCGTTTTCCCAGGAGCACCAGTAGTACCGTCAGCTCCTGTAGGCCCTTGTGGGCCTGGTGGACCTTTTAATTCTGGCATTATTTCCAAAATTTGTGAGATGTCATTTAAACTACATCTGCATTGTCCAGGCCCCAATGTCTGTCAAAAACAAATATATTTAAGTCTGCTGATAAAAATAAATACCTAAAAGGTTTTAATTTAGAAAATAGCACTTCAATATCAATTTATTTCCTAAATAAGAGCGTGCAAAATATGATAGAACATAATAGAGAAAATAAATAGTGGGTATTTTCATCAATAAAGTTGTTGTAACGCGCCAATGGAACCTTTCATAAGCCACCGTCCAATAATAAGCGCGTTAACGCTCGATTTGAATAGTAGGTCTGTTAACCGCCCTTAATAAAAACGCGCGCTAACGATCGTCAGTGCGTGTCAGCAACTAGGTCAGAGGTATACTATATTTTGCTAGAATCAGTTTTTATTAAACAGTCTTCGAAAGTCTAGTCAGTTGACGACTTCATTTTATTGACGCCATCCTTAAACTTCTTGCCGTTAGTATCTCTTTTAGTATCTTCAATTCCAGAAGCATTTACTAATGGCAAAACTTTTATTAAGTCTCCAAAATTGTTTTGTGGTTTAAAGGGAATTTTCGATTGAGGCATCCGAGATTTTTCCAATATTCGTCGTCAGTAAAGGGTTAATCTAATAGGATTGCTATAGCCTATCAAATGGGACGGTACTCGTCGACATTACGTATTCTAAAAGCGTCTTTTTATAGTCTCTTTTTATCATTCAAAATATTCAACAATACGCTTAAATGGAATAAAGTCCTTTGCCGGAAAGGTACATCATTCAAGCTGTCTACAGAAATACGGACGCCGTTTAAACATTACAGTTTGTTGTAATGCTAAATAGCATCTTTCTCGTTTATTGAGCCAATTCCACTAACAATTTCTGTTCACGATTGTGCAAAACACGCGAATTTTACTACATATCGATGTAACGAGGTACGTGACCTGAGTTATAACTTTCGTCAAAGTTGAGGAAGGTAGGGTGACAGAGATCCCTCGGATTAATGAAATCTTCGCCAAGTTTAGTAAGACTTGTACCAAAAACTCGGAAAGTCTTCGGATTGTCCGGAACAAAAATGTTTGTTTCGCCTTTCAAGTGAGTACTTAATTCGTTTGCTTGTTTTGTTTTTGGTATTTTTATTTTGTTAGGAGACGTGATGGATTGTAGTTTTAGAGAACAACTTCTCAAGAATAAGACTTAGAAGTAGATTTTTATAAGCCATACATGCCAGTTAGATAATAATATGAACTATAGTGGTGATGATAAAAGCGTTAAAAATATCGGCAAAGGTCTAAATAATCCAGAGGTGATTGCCCTTAAGAAAACGTCTAAGTTTAGTACGAGTACAACAATAAATTTTTACCGCAATCATTACAACAAGTACTTACATTATCTCCTTTCTCTCCTTTATCGCCAATGAAAACTAAATAGGAAAAAGTTAGGTCATTATTGGTTAGCGAGAAACGTGCTGAAAAGTTAGTACCTATTTTAACAAAGCAAAACAATGAGGTTAGACAATGAGGATTAATGTTTCATTATCTAAATTTTGATCTACTTACATTAATTAAACGAGAGTACAACGGTACAGTCCCGCGAAGCATATCATAATTTTATACACATAAAATTACGCCTGAAGGATAAAATACAGTAACTGTCTAATTAAGCTACGCTAGCATATTGTTGCTTTGGTAAGTTATTTATATCCATGTCTAAATATTGTTTTGTAGGGCTAATAATTTGATCATTAGAATTAGATTCCGGTCTCAGAATTGAGTAGACTATTAGAACATCACTGCGTCTTTTCAGTTTTGCGATTTTTAGTATAGGGTCTGAAGTTATGTCCAGTGTTTGACAATATTGTCATCCTCATTATCAACGGAACTAATAAAATAACTAGTAGATTAGGGGTTCCTGTCAGCCTGGACATCCTCGTTGGCCGACTGGTCGCAAGAGCGACTGCCGGGCAAGGGGTATCGGGTTCGATTCCCGGGTCAGGGTAAGTACTACTGGTTATAAAACATGTTCAATAGTAGCACGGAGTTTCGAATTGTACCCAGTATATTGTGATAGGCTCATCCCCTATTACATGGGACCCTTAATATAAACAGTGAAATGTGGGTGTTACATTGTACAGTGGCATTTAGTGCACCTAATGCGTGTGCATGCAATGCAAATTAATGTGCACCTCTGCCTACCTCTTCGGGAATAAAAGGCATGATATTATGTTATGTTAAATTATGGGTGTTCTGTGATTACATATCCAGTTTTATGAAAATTATGAGATTGTGTCTAACCACATATTCATAGCTCCACAGATCAATATCACAGTGTAAGAGCTTGAAGGTTAGCTTCCATTAAAGACTTGATACTTTTTATTAGACAATAGAAGCAATATGGCGTAAAATTTGATCTCCATTCGATTGTACAACATTTTTTTTCGCTTAAATTTCGTGCTTTATCAGTTTAATTTAGTTGTTACACCAAAACTAATCATAATATTATTAGATTACAGCTAACTAAAATCAAACAAAGAAATTAAACTATCAGAACAGATATTTATTAATTCCTTCCTTTATAAGTACCTCATCAACGTAATTAAGTTCCAAAAATAAACTTAAGATAATATTTCATAAAAACTAAAACAGAGAAGGAAAAATAACGGAACAAAGAGAAAACTTCTATTCAAATAACTGTATATGAAGTAAATATAATACGAAAGAAAATCAACCTATCGCCTCCGAAGCCAACGCAGATTTACGAAAAATATGTCAAGTGTGATTGATGTATTGTGGGAAATAAAATACACTTACACGGCGATGTGTGTGACACGACAGCCAGTCTGTTCTCATCTGGGTTTACCTGTAAAAAAGAAACGTTTATTTATATACTGAATAAGCCCACTTATACTTTCATAGGGATTTATTTTCTTTTGAACATCAAAGGCAGAATGACAGATTTTATAGACTACAAATTGTATGTTTATGATTTTCTTTGAAGCTAAGTATAAAAGCAAGATGAGGGACGGTATCAATAAACGTATTTGTAACAGTTATATACAATCACAATGTGTAGGAAGTAAGGGCGGACTGTATCATTGCCTGAGGGCTGCTTAATGACCTAATATATGTCGCGGAGAACCTAACGGGTAACCAGGGCTCCGGCTCGACGTGCAGGAGAAGGAACGGGGTGGTTTTTAGTCAGTAAGAGTCTGACACTCCCTTCCGCCTCACCCAGGCGGGAGCAGTCATTCGACGATTTTCCCCGCTTAAAAAAAGTGACCTAATATTCTCCTGGACTATTATTCTTCTTTACTCTAAAGAGAAGATAATAAAGGCTATGTTTGCAGATTAGCCCACAACTGCACAGATTGTGTACTGCAGCGGTTTTATGAGTTCTGGGGAGTTTACTGTTGTTAAGCCGTGATTTATCGGAACAAAGTAAGAGGCCGGTGATAGATTAGGGATATTTAAAAGACAATCACTCAGATCGCAATGGAGATTGATGGTGTGGAGAGTCATTAACTTTGCTGTTCACGAGGTTATGGAGGAGATTTCATGTTTTAATTTTGTTTTTTTTTCTATGGGATAAGCCGGAAAACGAGTAGACAGATCACCTGATGGTAAGTAATCGTTGTCGCCCATGACACCAGCCTGGAACACCAAAGGCGTTACAAATGCGTTGCGTGTGTTGGGGTTTAGGAATAAGAAGATTTTTGGGGATTCATATGGAGATAATTGGGCCTCCGGTAACCTCACTCATACGACGAAACACGACGCAAGCGTTGTTTCACGTCGGTTTTCTGTGATGCCGTAGCTTTTTTTAATAATATAAAATTATGTTTGTTTAAAAATATAAGTGATGTTTGTGTTATCATCGCATTGTTTTAATCGTCGCATTCTAAGTATTAGTTTGTATCGACTTTGTCAAATACACAGTCTATTGAAATAAATACACTAGTCAGTATATTTAGCCTTACTCTTTTCATTTAAAAATCACAATCCCCGGAAAACTGTCTGTTAGACAAAGAGAAAATGGAGTCCCAATCTCGAATTTTCAGAATTAGCTTCAAACCTGGCGCTTAAATCTGTGTGTAGGTGGTACACAGTCAAAATGCGAAGGTCTTTCAGTCAATAGACAACCTAATGTGTTTTTGTCGAAAAGCTTATACGAGATTAGAATACAAATGTTCATACAAAAAGAGGTCGGGTTAACTACACGGCTCACAGTCCACTTAGCTTCGAAATGTACCAATTTGCAAGCGCTAGTTTAGGCTTAAAAAATTACAGTCTACGGTACAAAATAAATGACTAGACCATATTCGAAATACCAGAATAATAGCTAGTGGATATTTTTTGACAAAATGTAGATTAATCATCGCAGCTTAATATCGATGGCTTATACGCAAAAAAGTTCCTTGATTGATGTGAAAATGGTTAGCCATCGGGAATTGCGTTTTATACGCTTAGACAAAGGGTCCATGATCGTTTGGACATCTATTGTGCTCGTATTCTATAGGAACATAGTGTGAGTGTTAATTACATTTTTGGGGCAGTGACGTAATTGCGGCTTTGGTAAGCCACTTAAATCTTATTGCGTAGCTCCCTGAAGCGGTTCCTATCTAATTTCATGTTACAGGGCGATTCGTTAATAGAAATTACGTAACGAATATAATAATCGCTTACTTTTGAAACTCGATATGACAAGAAAAGTATGAGATTTCAATTTTTTTTTAATCATAAAAATGGTTTTTCATTGTGTACAAAAATAATCTTAAGAGGTCTCTTAGAAAGATGAAGTTTTTACACCTCTCTTTGGGTCACGTAAACATTTATTTTTTCGTAAAAAATGTACCACCGTATATAATGAGATTGCTTTGCGTTTTGTTAGGACGCGTATAAAAAGTCGTGAGCGATTGCTATCAAGCGTTACCTACAAGTCTTTGCCTGGAAACCGCACGAATTTGAAAGTTTGCGAAATAAATACGAACATTAACACGTAATCGGGTTACTGCGTTAAGTTTTTACAGCGAGCGGTAATAAGGTCAGGTTAACTGTGAATGTACTATCAAGTTACTGAACTAGTCTGCCTACATTTTATATGTACCTAGAACTAACTAGATGGATCAAAAATGTACCAGTACATATTAAGTAGATATAAACATAATACTATCTTACCTGATGAGGATTTGACTTTGATTTTGAAGGTTTCATTTTATTCAATAAGTACAAATAAACACGACAGATTAAATTCAAATGTTACTAACATTATAAATGAAGGCCCAATTTCCCCCCCTCCCCAATCTCCCGAATCCCGAATCCTCCACAATCCTCAAATTCCTAATTCCCAAAAGGCCAGTAAAGCACTTGTAACGCTTTGATGTTCCAGGTGTCCAATCGACGGCGATTGCTTACCATCAGGTCCGTCTGCTCGTTTACCGGATTATGCCATAAATAAAAAATAATCCGAAAATTTGTACGTATGTTTGTTACTCAATCAAGTCAAACGGCTGAAGGGATTTTTTTTTAAGGGGAGAAAATCATCGAATGACTGCTCCCGCCTGGGTGAGGCGGAAGGGAGTGTCAGACTTTTACTGACTAAAAACCACCCCGTTCCTTCTCCTGCACGTCGAGCCGGAGCCCCGGTTACCCGTTAGGTTCTCCGGCTAAAGGGATTGGTATGAAATTTGGAACAGCTGTAAATCATGGTCTAGAATAACTTAGAGTTTACTTTTTATCACACGGAATAGTGGATGAAGCTGCTGGCAACAGCTAATATAAATATAATACTGCCTTATCTAGTAAGTATTCCTACTAAACAAGCATACTGAAATAGTAATTCTCTGCTAAGTTTAGCAGAAATCTAAATACAAAACGAGTTATATGGACTTACATAATGAAAGATACCTGAAATTATACGTCGCGTGGTTCCATATCACTATTGGCACCCACATGGGACAATGGGTCAACATTAACGACATAGTACAACATTAAAACTGTGTTTAGTCCATTCAAGTTTATTACGATCATTGAGTATTGTGGTTCGTGCTCATTCCTGAAATAGTTCATAGAATTATGAATTTAATGCCTGTAATAATACGGTATCTATTTAGTTTTACGAGCTTTTGTTAACATTGTGAGTTTAATAGCGTGACTATCTGTCAATTTAATTTTGATGGTGTAATAATAAATTGTGCTGGTATTGGATATTGTATAGGTATTAAAATCATTGTTTATAGATTTTTTAATGGGATAAGCCGGTAAACGAGTAAATGGATAACCTAATGGTAAAGAATCGGCATCGCTCATGGACTCCTAGAACACCAGTGGAGTTACAAGTGCGTTAAAGGCCGTTTGGGGAGCGAGTTTTAAGATTGTTGGGGATTCAAGGAATTGGAAGGGAAGAGGGGCGTAATTGGGCCTCCGGTAATCTCACTCACAAGACGAAACACAACGCAAGCGTTGTGTCACGTCGGTTTTCTGTAAGGCCGTTGTATCACTCCGGTCAAGCCGGCCCATTCTTGCCCAAAACAAGGCTCTCCCACACTTAAAAAGTATTTGATGTGAATATTCGCAGTATCATCGAAATACAAAAAGTTTCTATAGAATAAGGACTAATTAAACAACAGTAAAATATTTAATAATGCTTGTACAATGGGGTCTACCACCACATATTTTTGCTTTATAGATGTGCTCTAATGTGAACCTCTCGATCTTCGTCCAATAGGGAATTAGCGAATGGCATACCATTGGACGTTCAATGTTTGACAGCTGCAGTGATTAGACTAAAAATATCTTCCTACATCTGATGACCAAAAATACGGTAGTAGGTATTTCGACAACGTAACGAGCACTTTAATAGTAAAGTACTCGTTAGGTTGTCGAAATCTAAACTGTCAGCACAAAGGTTAAATACTAACTTCACTCAAAAAACATGAAGGTGTACCCAATTTATCAGACCTGAATGTAGGTGAAACATAACTTTACCAACACACGTCATACTAATAGAAAAAAAATATAAATATAATATATCATTGTTATTTTAATTGCTTTATTTTCTAACCAAATTCCTAATCAAAATGTATAATTTACATCATTTGTTTAAAGCTAAAATTTCATCATTACAAAGTCGAATTTATTTCAGATATTCGCTACCACGGGCAGCAGTAATTACGTTCAGAAAGGACGAATAAATTGTATTTTGTAAATGAATGTCGTGAGCTTTGATCCAGTACGGAATGGAATTCTGTTATTAATTATATTATTTGTTCTGTTCCAGTGATCGGAAATCATTATCTGTCTTATTTTGGTCCTGCTTAAAGAATTGAGAGGTTTTCTGACTTGGTATACTAATTAAAGGGCCCGTGTTTTGGTTAATGGTAGATAAAATCTTTTAATATGTCTGCACGGTTGGTGCGGTGACTGGGCCACCGGCTGCCGTGCAAAATGTCGCGAGTTCGACTCCCGCACTTTGTTGTTGTTGTTGCACACAAAAGAGGAGGAGGTTCTCAATTCGACCGTATTTTATGCTTTTTTGTGATTCACAAATCAAATTGTTGTTCAAGTCTGGGTGTACATGTGTATGAATTTGTATGTTTGTAAACGCACCCAGGACACAGGGGAAAATGAGGGCAACGATTTTTTGAATAAAAATCAAATCAAAAGAATGAAAATGGCAACTTTTTAATATATCTATTAGATATAGTCATCAGCTTTACTTAGCTAAAGAGTATCCGTATGCTATAACGTCATAGGTACTAAAAAATGTATTTATCGGCCTGTCTGGTATACAGACGATGTGATAGCGTTTGGTGAAAAATCCACGACTTTGCACGTTTATCGCATTTGCATTCCACAGCACAT